TTTATCTTGTAACCTAGAAACCCATCAAAGAAGAATTTGGTTATCATGTATAGTTGGAGCTTGTTCCTATATCGATGATCCTATAAGACACCACTTTCAAGCACAATGCACAAGGTTTGTAATAATTGACTTTTAATGAATTCTATCATTTTTTAGTGGCTTTAGAAAAAGGAAGCATGATGGATTTCACAAAGGTTACTATGCTCATTGTTAATTGTTACTTTGAAGTTTATATATATATATATAATATATATATTATATATCTATATATATATCTATATATATTATTATACAAACCTTACTATTTCTAAAAATAGATTTAAGACGTCCAAGCTATAAAGCTAAAAGTACAACCACCAACAAAAATTATAATTTTATAATTTTAAATAATACAAACATTTAAGCTAAACGTATAATCAAGTTATACATATACTTCCTAATCTGCCCATCACACCGCCTCTGCCTCTATTAGCCCCCATCCAGCCACCACAACTCCCCTCAACCACCACCACCTTCACGTCAACCACCGTTTGCAGCCATCACCACCTTCCTTTATTGCAACCAATGCCAACACTACTTTCACAACCACCATTTGTAGTTGTCACCATATTCCCTCCGCCACTACCACTTTCCCTGGCTACCATCACCACTACAATTCTCCTCCTTCGATCGTATGTTCTCCATCCCAAATCTGTTCCATATGATATCCACATCCTTTCAAGATCGTATCTAATTTCATGAAATCGACAGCCACGGGCGACCATCACTCCCACGCTACTCCTAAACCTAAAGCCTTCAATCATCCATCGTCTATTAAACCACCACCACCACTGCTACCGTGTCGCTACTCTTCATCTTAATATTTTCTCTAACATCTACCACCACCTCGATGTTATGTAGGCGGATCCATCGAGTCCATGTACTATCGCACAATCAAAGCCATGAAGCCCCTTAATATCTTTGATTTGTTTCTTATTCTATTTCTTTTTTGCTTTAGTGAAAAATGCAATTGAACGATCTTTATAGAGAAATACGTTAAAAAAGTCATCCCCAACCAAATCAGCTTAAAATTTTGACAAGGTATATTTTTTGCGATTATCTCATCAATTTTTTCCATGTATTGTTTACTTGTAGTTTCAAAAGGTCAGAAATTAAGGTGAGTTGAATCGAGATTCTAAGATTTCTCCAACTTCTGTATTCAGAATTTCAATCAATAGATCTTGACTAAACCTGATTCCATTCAGTATGGAAACAAACTTTCTACAACTTGGTTAGTGTTCTTTGTTTTTGATTTGCATCTACTAATAGCTGTTATTACCACCACCTCTATTCACCAGTCAATAGCAGCTCCCTTCTCATGTTCCTTCCTTCTCCCCAATCGCCAGGTATCATCGCTTCCCATCCATTTTTTTGTTACAGGTTATCAATTTTGAAATTTCATGACTTTTTTTTATGATGAAGCTTTTTGTCCAGCAAACATGTCCCCCCCCCCCCCCCCCCCCCCTCTAGAAACCGGCTTCTACAATGTGATGGCAACTCTTTGCTTTGCAGGTACCATCTTATTTTTATTCATAGATTTGTACAGATTTCATGATTTATGCATAATAGAGTTGGGGAGTTTTTTTGTTATCTCACAGTAAAACGACCAGATGATCACAAATTTGTACATAATTCATTTTTTTGGTGGGTTTATTGGGATTTTGTATTGGTGATTTTTTAAACAAATATGATATAACTTCAATATTTCATTGGATTCTTCATAGAAGGTCCTCCATACATAGATGCAACATGTGGCTCTCCCGTGTTCATCATTTTTCTATTCTTTTATACAAATTCATGAAGATCGATATGCATCCCAGAGGAAAACAAAGAACCCCTACAAGGTAAACCATGTATGGCCTACTAAATTCTTAACCATTATCCTTCCTGGCTAGGTTCGATCATTCTGTTTTCAAAATCTTGATACTATTAATTTTTTTTATGTTGTGTACTTTTCTTTTGGTTATAAAATGACATCATTTCCTTGATTCCACCTGAATTGGTGTTCTTTGGTCAATAAATAGTCAATGTATTGTATTATATTTCTAGGGATGTTGGTTTTCAGTT